TGAAAGAGACTACTTCCCTCAGGTTTCTCCTGTTGATGGTGATTGGTGCTTGCTGTTATTGTTGTTATTGTTTTCCATTGGGTATCTTCATCACCTCTGTCTTCTCTATGTTCACTTGAAGTCCTATTTTCGCTGCCCTGTCTCTTCTGTCAACTCGTTGGCTTTCGCCTGTAGATCTCCAAGTTTGTGCGACAAGACATTAGACATAAATCATCATCGGCGGCGAAATCCAAATCTTCTAGGCTGTTTCCATCGGTCCAGTCAGCTTATGCCTATCTTCTCGCTCCTCACAGTTTGTTGCATGATCCAGTCCAGTCCAGTCGACCACAATTTGGAAGATGATCGGTGATAGTAAACGGCAACCTTGTCTTACTCCTGTCTTCACTTCAAAAGCATCACTGAGCTTTCCATTGGCATGTAGAGTCATCATATAGCTGTTGAATGAGGTTGGTGAATTTTTGTGGCACTAAAACCGTAGTGTTGGAGCAACTGCCTACTAAATTACTTCTCGATTGACGCTGTCGATGGTCTTTTCAAAATCGATGAAGTTGAGGTTAGGTAGAGATTTTACTGCCATTCTGTACTCTGTTCTATGATGATGCATAGCGTAGCGTTGCAATTTGATCCGCACGTGATTTGTTTTTCATGAATCCATCCTGTTCGGGTCGTAATTTTGAATGGGGAGTATTTTCTAGTCTATCCAGGATGGTGCGGCTTAATATTTTGCTTGGGGTGAACAGCAGCATGATTCTGTACCAGTTCTTGTTCTTGCAAAGACTTAGGTCACCCTTCTTTGGGAGTTTGATAAGATAGCCCGTCTTCCAATTGGCAGGTACCTTTCCTTCGTTGCAAACCTTCTACAGTAGTGGTGGGAGCATGTCCGCTAATGTCTCTGTGCCTTATTTCAGTGCTTCTGGTGGAATTCCATCTGGTACTGCTGCTTTCTCGGATTTCAGCTGTTTTATGGCTTTCAGGACTTCTGCTGTTGCTGGAGGGCTTGTGTTCACTGGTGATTCTGTGGCTGAACTGCTGGTGGTATTTCTGGACGAGTTGCAGGTGGTGTTGGTGGTCGATTGAAGAGTTTTTTGAGGTGGTCAGCCCATTGTTTCCTTTGTTTCTCCTCTTTGCTAACTAGCTTTCCTTCACTATCTTTCATTGGTTTCAGATGAGTTGGTCTCTTGCCAGATAGTAACCTGGTTATTTGATGTAATGTTGTCAGGTCTCTCCTACCTGCAGCCTGTTCTGCTTCACTTTCCAATGTGTCGTAGAAGTTTCTTTTGTCTTTGCGCGCACTCCTCTTTGCTTCTTTGTCCAGTGTAGTGTTTTATAGGTTGTGTTCAGTTCCTCTCTTCGTTGTTCACCCCTGCACTGCATTGCACTGGTTCATCTTCTGCTTCGCCATCCTCTTCTCCTCTATCAGCTTCCATGTGTCCGTCGAGATCTATTCCGTTCCTTGTCTTGCTCATACTTCCTCCCTAACACAGTTGTGCAGGTTTCTTTCCATATCTCTTTCAAAGAGTTCCAGTGTTCTTCTACGGAGGTTCCTTCAGGGATGTTGCTTAATGTCTCCCTTTTTTTTCTTGATGACTGACAACGTGAAGATGTCCTTTGTAGTTTCGTCCTTCAGTGCAGTTTCTGTTCTGGGTGTTGAACTCGAACTTGAACTGTGGTCATCTATCACCAGCTTCTTTGAAGGCTTTTAACTTGATTTGGAGGGTTCCTTACACTAGATGGTGAGTGGTCTGGACCTATATCTGCTCCTCTTCGTGATCTTGTGTCCAGTAGGCTGGTTACGTCTCCACTTTCTCCAGATTGAGATGAAGTCGATCTGATTTCTAGTGTGTCCATCTGGTGAAATCAAATCCATATGGCTTTGTGAATATCCCTGTGTTTTTACACGCTGCCTTCAATCACCAAATCATTAAATGCACAGAAATCTGCAAAGTTCTCCGTTCTCGTTCACTTCACCGAGTGCTTCTCGACCCATGATTGGTTATCTTCCTGTGTTGTTCGCTTCCAGTTTGGCATTCATGTCACACCACCCATTGGAATGAATTTGATGTCTCCAACTGGAGTGGGGTCTTATCCAGCACTAATTGCAGTTGTCTATAGAATTCCTCCTTCTTCTCTTCATCTGCATTATTTTCAGGTGCGTAGTGTAGCATTGTATGAATGTGACTTTCCTTCCTTTTGAGCTGAATCTTGCTGTCATGATGCTGTAGGATGAGATTGGTTCCCACTGCAGGAGAGCCTTTGATGCTCTTGCAAACGTGTTGATAGCCACTCAAAAACACTGTGTTCGTGGTTGTCCTCTGGGTGACAATACCGGAGTGGATTGTTGACTCTCCAGTTGACAGCTTGGAGAGTACACTTCCATTGCATCTGCTCCCGCAGATTCCTAGCACTTCGATGCCATACCTTCTCATCTCTTTTGCAATCTGGGCAGCTTTGCTAGGTCCAAACACTGTCCGGACCCGTTGTCTTGTCAAAGTGTGTGATGAGATTTTAGGTGAGTTGTATACGTATACGTCGAGTATGTTTGCTCTCACCACTGGGGTGTAGATTTATCATAAACATGTTTATGGAGAACTCACTTGGTTTTACAGGGTTTGCAAAATATATCCTGGTTATGTGAGAGCACTAAGAAGCAAAGGGATTTTGATACAAGTGACACTTCGAGAATGTTTGAGATAGGTTTCTCACCTTGATGCAAATTGTTGCTAAATGACTAGTTTCCAGCGACGAAATTTTGGCATGGATACAAAAGCTCGACTCACTCCTGCTAACTTAAGCCACTTGGATTGTTGTCTAGTTATCAATGGATCCCGACCGAAGACTGAGTGTACTTCAGACCATTTCAGTTTATTCTACTCTGTGACTGGAAGACGATCATTAAAGGTAGGTGACATAAATGAACTACAGGCGTTCAACCACAATTGTCTTAATAACGATGGCAGTGTGTCGCTGAACTACTATGCTAGTAATATATAGGTCAGACAGGCCCAGCAGAGTCGTGGGTAAATCAGTGAATGGTGTTGTAAACCTTCGTACAACCTTTGAGTTTGATGGCTGAACATATGTTATACTTATCGAATCACCGCTTACCGCAACATGGTTACGTGAAATAAGTTTAAGTTGGAAAAAGATTAAAGATAGCTACACTTTAACGTGACATCAGTTCATCGAGTTTCTGGGTTAGTCTGAGCAGTGTAGAGGAATATAGACTTCTACGTTAGGATCCCCGTGCTTATGGAAGTCAATGGGATATTACTCAGTCAATCATAGTGGTACATATGCATCCATACATTATCTTGATTGTAGTTGTGATGCGACGTATTGTAGTTTACTTAATCTTCTTTCTTCGTCTTGTGACTTAATGCTGTCTTGATTACATTTTTGTGTCATATCTTGATGTGCTGATACAAGGGATCGCAACTTGGGCCGCTAATCAGTAGTGGGACTTCTCACTTTGATATTAATTCGTTTCATTTTGTTATGAGCAGCAATTGGTAATCAGAAATCAATTACCGGTATTGTTCTCGATAAGTTTATGAAAAGATCCAGATCTGCAGGTCTGTTGATGACTAGTTCATTTGAAGGCCATAGCTTTTGGAATTATCTCGCACTCTTTCATATTACTGTTACAAAAGTTTTCGAGAATTTTCAGTTGAAACGTTTGCCATGTTGATCGACATGTCTTCGCTCTTATATCATAGTGTTTCACTGATGTTGTTACACGAAAATATTGTGCAACAGGCTGGCAAGGTCATCTCACTTCATGATCAAGACAGCTTTTTTAAGTGACTTCATTGGATGAATTAGATCTTTTCTTTTTACTTATTGAACTAATCTAGTTTTACAGAATCTTTTTAAGTATTTTCATTTGTTTGTGACGTATTCTAGGTCGTCGTCGTCATTGTGGCTGTAATCTGTTTTCTGTTCCTGAGTCTTTCAGTATCTAAAAGCAGTATCCTTGTATCTACCGTAATCGATTGTTGGTTTGATGATAACGTTCAAACAAATACTAACATCTCAACAACATTGACCACGATAAAAAAGGCCAATACAGTGGTCGAAAGTCGGCGCTACTAAACCTACGACAGATTGGTCTAGAAAACAGACTAAATCAAGCTTCAACGTGCTCCAAAGCATAAGAAGGGACTTCCATAGATGCTGATAAGTAGTTGGGTCAATTTACTTACTTTCGAAGTAGCACTAAAGGTGATACCTGAACTGCCATCGAGACTCCTACCACTGAGAAACTAACTTTTGAAAGCAGCAGAACTACTAAGATTTTCACAACGGAAGTTGTAAGAATTTTCCGCCATATTACTGTTCCGTCTTTTTTACTCGATGTAACTGAAGAAGAGATTGGTTTGGTATTGAGAGTATTTGACTAATAATTTTGAGTGCGAATTCTAAATGGACATCTACTGGGGGTCATTCAGGTCAGCCCTTCCGGGTATGTTTGATCTAGATTTTGTCCCATCCTTTTGAAATATTCTCTGCTATTTTTGAAACCAGTTAAGGACAAGACGTCATATTTTTACAGCTACTCCATCCCAGTAACTACCTGCAGTGAAACTGTATCACTCTAAGTGCTGGTTGTTCCTAAGAAGCATTTTACCAGTGTTAATTGCCTGTAGTGACAGTTTTCGATAGAAAACACCATTACAATCAAAATGGAAGTGAATGATAAAGTACTAAGCTGCTATTATATTCTCAAGGATAAAATCGCTTGTCACTACTTCGACATAAGATATTGTATCATTAATTGTGACTATTTAAGCAGATTTATGTACAAATAAGTAGTTTCTTCAAAACGATTAGTAAAAAATAATGAAATCTACGGAATCTTTGCACAACGATTCCAAATGAATTTTTTTAATCAGTAACCCTCAGTTTTTATTCATTTTAAAAACTTCATAGGCATTCAGTGTTATTTAATTAGTGTTTTATCCGAACGAAGAGTATTACATAGTGGTTATTTTTGGTTTCAGCTTGACAAAGGATCACACTCAACGCCCAAAATATCGCTCACTAATGAGTACAGTATTTTTGTTCGATATGACAGAGAACCTCATGACGTATTAGAGTGGCTTAAAGCACTTCCTTTACCACATTTACATCATTCAGAAGACGCAAGCGCAAATAGCATTTGGGATCGCAAAACTCCTACAGGCGTCACGTCTATGAATAATATGGCTAGTACTGCTGAATCCCCTGATTCAGTGACCACCATTAACCCAGATATTTCAAAAGGCCTGAGTAATATTTCTCTGGATGATATTTCCGACTTAAAGAAGGTATCTTGGGAAGAAATAAATAGTCGAGCTGAAATAGATGTTACATTAGTCGCAGCACCTATGATAAACACTAATTCTGACACTCAGTCACAATTTATTATTAATGAACCGTTGACAAATTCTGATCAGTTCGGAAATGAAAATACCTGCATTTCAAATGTCTCGTCTAGAATAAGTGAAAAGTCCTCCGTCCACCAAAATCCTAGCCTTTCTAATACCCAAAACACAGTGGCTGATCACGGTTCTGGAAATTTTATTCATTTTCTGGAAGGTAAATCTAATAAGTTTTTCTCTCAGACTTCATCTGGTTATGGGTCTGCTGGATCTGATAGTTCACCAGGGTCTCTTGGGAGTGATAGTCGACCACCAAGCTCTACTCAAGTTCTTGATCTAGGATTGTCCCACCGAACTGTTAATGGGATTCCTCCTTTACCGGCAATTCAGCGTTCGAAACCTACTTGTGTTTTACGAATCAACAAATCAGATAAATACTCGATGAATGCTTCAGAAAATAATATGGGTCGTTCTAAGATGTCAGTCCACCCAATGATGTCAGACCTATCTAATCATCCTATTTGTCAGAGAGCTTCTCCACAGACAGTGTTGGGGTCCGATCAGTGGAGTACTTCATCTTTATCCTCCAGAACAACTCACATAAATACATCTCATCCCATTCAGGAAACGTCTGTACATAACCCGCTGCCATCTCTCATAGAGAAGTTTGAACCTATTTTGGTCAGGGGAGATTCAATAAAAGATATTAGCAAAGATGATAAGCATAACACTTCGAAACAAATCGTTTCTTCGGTTACGGATATGGAAAAAAGAACTGAATTTCCTGGCTCTTCTGAAATTGAACTGGTTTGTAGTCGTATCACATATCAAGATACTAACAAGCGAAAAGCAGTCGGTCAAACACGTTCTTCTTCTGTAGGTGCTCAGTTGCAGCGTTCGCCTGCTCAGAGATGGTCTATTAAACCAGCGCATATTAGCAGAAATCCTCAAATTGATCTTAATTCCTCCGTGGGTGTACTCAATGGTAATAACACTCGTACACGTTCTCCAATAGTTTTGAATACTACCTCACCCTTACAACAGAATTGTAACTATGAGACCATCATGAGAAAGAGCACATCACCACAACAATATCACCACCATTATTTTTACTATTATTATGATAATCAGCGTGATCTTAACAGCCAAAAAGAATTATCCAGTACATCCTGGATGTCTAAAGACAATAAAGGTACATTTGGCAGAAAAGTGGCCGGCTCAAATGCTAACTCAATTGGTAGTAATTGCAAATCCGCCTGCGATGTGTTACCATTCCCTTCAGGAAGAATGTGTCAGCGATTATTTACTCATCCGATTCCAAGACAAAATAGTTTACATTGTTCACCCACTTCTAGTGATTTTAAATATTCTAAGGCTGGAATAAACTTACTTTGTCCTAGTGCAATGATGTCATCACGTCTTCCTTTAACCTCACAGTCTACCTATCAAATTACATCGAAAGAGTCGGATTCACGGTTTCCTGACCAAAACACTTCACACCCGTCTGTATTTAATAATATAACAGCAAAAGATAATCATTCGCAAAAGTACAAAGGAAAAAGTCATTCGAAGTTCAATTACAGATCAATGTCACAACCCCCTAAATCTCGAGAGTGGTTATCTTTTGAAACAGAATTATAAAGGTACACCTCATGACACGAATGCATATCAAATAACTTACCAAAAACTAATAATGTTGTGAAATCCTGTCTCCAATCCACCTATGTCTTTCGATGATTGTGTCAGCATTTTACTTACTAGAGTGGTTTTTCTGCACATCTTTGAATGTTTTTTCATATTACTTTCTAGTCTTTCTACCTAATATGCAAATGTACTCCTGTTAATTATGGTTAGGTTGTTTTCTTGTACATAATATTGTAAAATAATGTCAATCTTGTAATTTATGTTAAACAGTTTCATTTGTGGTCAGCTGTCCAATGTAATTGTTTTTAAGAAAACTCAGCCTCACATTTTGGATGATTTTTGAAAAGAAATTACTGTTGAGAAAAAGCACGTTAGGTCTCAATCAATAAAACATTTCTGAGAATTAGTCTTATATAGCTTTCATATATAACCTTTTGGGGTTAGGTTCTTGAAAAAAGGGAACATGATTTCTCATATCTATGTATGAAATTCGATCGACAGATTACGCTTTCACAGTACTCAGAAGTATAGCTAAAAATGAAATGCATTATGTGATGGCTTATGAAACTACCCAGTCGTTTAACTCTCATTCAGTGGTAGGTGGTACAGATTCGGACTCATGTTCTATACATTGATTAATAGATGCCTAAGCCAATAAGCCACAGCTACTAGATGCAATCAGTATCTAAATATGATTAGTGTTCGAACTTTTGGTTTAAGGTTTACCGAAATTCTGTTGTAACCTTTTACTGCCGGACTAGCGATGTGTTCTAATGCTTCTACAAATATTGTATGGATATAATGGGAATAGCTCTAACTTGCAAGGAACCAGTTATTATGCAGCATAAGTCCATCTCGTGTATTAGTTCAGTTTGGCGTCATACCAATTGCTTTCCTAAATGGCTTAATATTACGTCTTAGTGCAGTAAGCTGACTTATTTACTGAGTTTCAGTTGACGGCAATTGTTTATATGGATAAATGAATCTGCAAGAACTCGAAACAACAGTAACACGCTTTGATATTGACGGTGAATCCTCACTAACGCACTAACTGTAGTTCAAACAATACTAAAAGATGACTTTTGTTAAGAGCTATCGGCTTTGCTGTAAAGTGTAAAACGTCCAGTTGGGAAGTTTGAGTCACACATAAACTTATCTTGGCGACATCTTAAAAATATATCGACGATAGTAATCATATCTAGCTATTGTGTACTAACAATGAAATGTTCTTGGTCAGTTCTGGTTATAAGTAAAAGCTAAGACAGTGTTTGACTTGATGAATACTGGCAATAGTTAACGATAGATGATATTTCTGTTAGGCTGGTTAATGAAACAATAATGTTCTGCTTTTAGTATGTGTTTAAACCTAAATAATGCACCGGTCCGAGTTTGTATAAGTCCCTGCATAAATGGAAATACCTGTATAGTAGATTAAAGTGAGTTGTCATCTGAATGACTATCGTGAAGTATGCCTACCACTTCTACTAATGTTCCATGAAAGACATGCTGATCTAGATGAATTACCTGTAAGCTTTCAGCTGGTTAACCTGGAGTGCAAAAATGACATAATTATGTTAGGTGAAGATGTAAAATACACAATTTTCTGGGGACCACATGGGACGACGCAAGTTCGTGTGACACATTTCAAACATGTTTCTGATATGATACACTTCAACAACTGGACATTGGATGGTGAATGAAGTGGTCAAAAGCGCTAGGTTGCTTATCTGATATGTCGCACAGTGAAACAGCATTATTTACGTTCCAAACAGAATATGCTGTTCACATTAGTATCAAAGCTAACTTCACATCCTGTTTTCATAGTCCTTATTCACTAATTGTCGTATGGATAGTAGGATTCTCGAAGTATTTGGTGTTGTTGCTGAATCATTTCTATTGCATATGTTTAGTGTTGATACTATAAAGAAAGCTCCAGTTACCAACCAATCTCTCCCCCCACCCACTAAATTTATTTTAAGGACTGTCATTCTGTCCAGTCCTACTGTGTGGCTGTGTGCATTGCAATAGCTGAGCTTTTCTCTAAATTCCTAGTCTTAAGGTTCATCATTCTTGATTTGGTTAAGTTTTTGTACTCTGCTGTTCTGATTGACCCCATCCAGCTACTTTAACCTCTGTGCTTGACGTCACAGTCGTTGCGCGGATTTAGACAGGCTAGATTATTTTGTCTTATAAAATCTTTTAGCCTGCAAAGGTTGTCTCTTAGTGAGTTTTTGGGTTTAATTGCTACATCAATCTTAGCTTTGCTAAGAATCCTGAGTGGAATCCTTGAGTTATCTCTCCCATAGGTAACACTGTAGAGGTTTTGAATTCTCGTTTCCATTCAAGATATTCGGGGAATTGTACTACCCATACGTCAAATGAAGGAGGCGAAATAAGACTATATAGACAGGATATGTTGTTAACGTTGATATGTATATGAATAACAAAATTCTGTTCGGGACGTCATCCAGTAAATAATACCGTTTATTTGTACTAAATCAAATAGAATGTAATAAGGAATTATATTAACCAAGCTCTACTCTTACATCATCAGTTAAATATGATCACCTTTTCGAGTTGTCATGACCCTAATTAAGTGGCTTCCAGGAATAATAACAATGTAATGAAATACTCGTTTAGAATTCACCAACCTACTTCATATACGGTGCCGGCACAACATAGATCTACATATCAGGGTGCATTACACAAAAGCCTTTTCAGTTCTGATGTACAGCTCAGATAAGAACTCAAAACCTGGATGATATCACGGAGTTGCAAATTTCCAACTATAAATTCCTTCGAAGCATTGTTGAAGCATAATGGAAAAGTGGATTGTGCAATTTTGAGTTTAGACAGAATGGTAGACAAGGAAGGTAGGTCATTCGATGGGTTTATGGTCTTGCACTTACAGTTGTATTTCGGACATGTGTTACGCAGGATGAACGACCATTCATCTTAGCGTGCAATGTTCGTTAATATAAGGTTAGACTGGTAAAGGTTTTGCATGATCAGACTGAAGTATTGCGACAAGTGATTTCTTGTCTGAGTTTTGTTGAGTACCTGGCTAGTCTCCACGTGTAAGGAATTAATGGTTGTTAAGACGTTTACTCAACGCAGCTAGGGTTTCTCTTTGCCAGTTAGAACGTAATTTGCCTAAAGTTGTTCCTCCCAGTTTTCCAACCGAATAAAAAACCAAACTAGATTCATGGTTAACTGTCAGTTTATAAGTAAGTTTAAGTGTATACCTATAAAATGTGAATTCGGCTATTCGATTTGCTAATAGGCGCTTCATGCAGCCTGCCACATCCAGCAATCAGAATGCAAACTGTCCTTGGATTGCTGTAAGTTGTTTTATTAGATTGCATAACTGACTCTCAGTAGGTGTATGAAGTGTTACCATTACTCCGCACCAGATATTTGGTCATCGAATCTATCGCAAACCGAAATACCTACTAATATGATGTGTTTAATGAAACTGTCTCAGACATTCACTAACGCTTACAGAACGTGTAAAATAATCGAAGTAATTTGTAAGCAACAGTCGATGTGTATATACGTTTCTAAACTGCCGATACATTGATTTAGTTCTCAGGTTTCAGTACTCCCGATTTTAACGGTTGTGGTACACATGAATCAGTAATGAGGAAGCTCTCAGGTTCTCCAACTGGTATCTGTTATATTGTGGAGTAAGATTGCCAAAATCTTCATAAGTAGGCGTAAGCTGTTAGAGCCTTTTCAGCCAACCTGATACTTACACCTTGGTTCACGTGTTTTTTCTCGAAACTCCGACTGAAAAAATCTTTATAAGAAGCCACATATGTAGTAGTGACAGCAAGGGTTAAAAAAAAGCGGTAATTAGAGGTATGTAAAAGTGGTGGCGAGTAAAAGTATGGCAACTCTTTCTAATGAAGAATTTCAAGCTTTTGTACAACGCTATAATAAAAGTCTTATAACGGAGGATTGTTAAGAAATTCAAGCAAATGCTGGATGATATTCAACTAGAATCTACTCCATAAATCCTCAGATTTTGAAAAAGACTTCGTAAATACTTCAGTGATGGACGTAGCGAAGCTGAAAATGAATTCAGGAAGCCTGATAATATAAATCATGTTACGTCAGTGGATGAGAACATTACTAACCCCTTCAATACTCATCAAGAAATAGTAAATGATGCAGACATTTAGTCAGATCATGTTGATGAAAACCATGAAGTACGTGTCGAGAGATTGCAAAATGATATAACATATTTAGAGATGAAAAAAATCAATAGAATTTAAATCTAGTAAGCCTAGGCTATTGTATTATTGTAATATATATAGACCTTGTATTTTGTACATATTATTGACGTTCTAAATATACCTTCCGTTATATTACCTCTTTTTCCATTATGGAGAAACTAAGCGACCGTTGTGGGTGGAATTTTAAGCTTATAGCACAAGCGTCCACTTATGTATAAATCAGGCTACATAAAATTACTGTAAATACATGTAAAAGTGGCGGCTAAAGTTTGTAAAAATATCAGTCCATGATGAATACAATCTTGAAAATAAAATTCCCATAGACCCCTAGTAGATATATATATATATATATATATATATATATATATATATATATATATATATTCATTTGAGCAACACAACACCCTTATACACAGAACTTGGAAACACTATAGACTACTAAGTCACATTGTTTTAAACTTTAAGCAGTATTTTGGACATAATAAGCAGTTGGGGTTTGCATTTTGTAGGATTTAACTTTCAAAATGCTAAGTTTCAATTCCACATTTAGACAGCTGATAACATAGTCAAAAGGTTCTTCTTCGAAAGCTTGCGCTTGTGAAGCTAATTGGGAATGTCAGTGGAAGTGACACAGCCAGTGTATTCACCTGCTATGAATTGACCAGGTGAATAAACAGAACGGTAATTTAATACCAGTCTAGCCGTATGAAGACTTCATTTTACTGTTTTGATTCCCATTCCAACAACGAGTAAGTTGGACTTCAGAAATATTCAGAATTCCGTGGACAACTAACGTGCGCTAAATGTATGCGTCCAAACGTGTCATTTCCCGGACGGTTTAATTTACCGTTATTTCAAAGGTTTTCCAGTATGCTTGAATTAGAAGTATAACCTTTACCTGAGTCTACTTGAAACCAATAAGAAACAACAATAAACTGGTTTAGTTTTATTTAATAAACCTAGATTGCAATGACTGATATAAATCTTTCTTTGTTGAAAACTACCCAGAGAAACCATACCTTAATGATAACCAGTCACGGAGAATAACTGTTCCACACTGACTAATCATAAAATTACTTATAATTCATTCACAAGTCATTTATAGGCTTCATAACCTGGTGAACGGAATTCCACTGATATCTAATTTACTTGCTATAATAGTTGCTGTGAGCTAGTTGTATTTATTAACTGATGCTCATTTGAGAAACGTTTTCTCAACTAACTGTCTTATGGTTGTGACCGTTAGTTATTCCACTAGTCGTAGTCACCAGTTTCATCTATTCGCTCATTACTCCCTGCTGACGATTAGATCATGTGTACATCACAGATAAAAATCAAAGTAGAATCTGACAGAGAAGTGCATCCGTTTAGGCTGCCACGCTTCACAGCAGCATGCGAAGGACAAGAGGGTAGAAAAAGAGTGATGTTAAGCTAGTCGAGAGTGTATGGGAGGAAAGAGAATAAGTAGATATGGGTTAGTAAAAATATATGCAAGACTTCTAGTATGACAGAGTCTATGCACCTCCACCAATGTGATCAACTGTGGACCATGTCATCAGAAGTTTCCAGCTATTGATTCCAACCAGATATTCTACATAGTTCATAACAACAGTTAAAAACTTAATGGACTGATGACAAGTTTTGGCCTGACCACCTGTAATTCTCATCCTATTTTGGTCAATATTATACTGTAAGCCAGGAAGCGGCTTGGGATGCACAACATATGTGTAAACCACCTCAGTGGGTGAAGGTTCCCGAACTGACTGACTAACTCGCCCAGTACCTCATGCCTAGTCTTGCCAACGCTCGCTCGTGAGGTGATCCCAGTACACGCGCAATCTTGCGAAGACACCTCTGCCTATTTCATATTTTCTACAGAGCGGATTGCAGTGAAATGCACTCGTTCTTTAATGAGTAGTCGCCGAGAATCTGTAAGCAAATGTCAACCCTTACAGGTTTGAAAGCTATTATGGAGTAACATAAAAGACCAACGTATTTTCAAGGGTCGTCAAAAGCCACAATATGCTTACTGCTAAATAAATATAAAGTGAAAGGATCACGGTAAGGATGGAGAGCAGCTAGCAGTGGAATCCAGGATGCGCATTTCGTCCTATTTGGAACTCGTCAGCTGGATGTACCTTCCTCCTAGTGGTTGGTATTGTTCCCACCGAGACTCGGGAGTGATCACTTCAAACGCCAGAGCGTCATCCACCACACCACCGAGCCACGATAGCGACTTCTTTGTGCGACGGGTATAGTTTCAGTGTTATTGCTTGTATTATACCGTCGTTGATTGGCATGAATTGATCGGTCTCTATTGGCACACGCCAATAGAGACCGATCAATTCGGTCCAATCAACGACGGTATAATACAAGCAATAACACGGAGAGGATCACAGTTTATATGAGAAAGAAACTTTGTTGTTATGGTGTAGATGTAAGAGTGCAAAACTTATCCAAAACGACGAAGCATCCATTCTCTTAAATGATGAATAACCAATGCGAAAGATAATATTTGAGGAAATAAACATGTTTCTAAGTCCGGCACACACTAGCAACGAAATATACAGCAGTTGAAGTGTATTTTGAATGTACGTTGTCCAATTGTAATACAGTAGTATTCATTACAGGTTGAACGGCTAATGATAAAAATAGTGTACTGGGAAATCAGCTGGTACTATTTGAAAACCCCTAACTATAGATATCATCTAAAGTCTTCAAGCTATAAGAAGACTTTGGCAAGTTTGCCTAATCACAGGATTCAAATACAACAGCTAACGTTTACAACTAGTCCACTGTGCACAAACCTGATGAAATAGTTGGATGTAGATTCACTGCTATATGTATGTGCAAAAAAAAACATTATTCATTAAACAATCTCATATCATTATTGAATATTGTTTTCTTGGATGATCTGAAGTAACATCGGAACATTAAATAAGAACAACAGAAAGAAAAAAACAGCAAGCAATTTACATGCAGACAAAGGGGTGACATTAGAAATCCTCTTTATGCATTTTTCATTGAAAGAAACAAAAAAGGGTCGGGTTTATTCTTTTACTAAGACGTGATATTCACATTCTTCTGAAATATATATATATATATATATATATATATATATATATATATATATATTTTGTGTGTGACTAACTGTTTCTATGTATGCAAGTTAAGAGCCAAAATGAGTTGACCAATACAATAATAGATCTTCGGTTCATTATCATATCATGAAAACAGTAGTACGAAACCAGAAGTATCCAACAGAGGTAGCAAAAAGTGACCTGACCTGGTATTTGTGCAGTTCACAGTCGGATGGAGGCTGTAGACTAGTGACAAACAGAAGCTTCAAATTTATTTCTTCCGGAGAGAGATATATAGCTTTTTTTATGTGTAATAACTACAATTAATAATAATAATAATAGTCATTTGGATAAGTGTACACAGTTGAAGCATCCCGCACAATTCATTGATCAATAAATTATGGAGAAGATAAATAAATAAAACAAAATAAAAAATAAAACATTTTGACTTGCTTATCATTACAAATGATGCAATGATCATTGCAAGATAACTACAATGACAGAAGATGGAAACCAGTTGGATGAAATGAATTTAGTAAAGAACAGATATTAACAATAACAAACGATGGACTCGGAGAAATCTTCTTAGAAGACCATTCCTAACAACTGGTCAAAGGCCTTTCGTTAACAAGATTTAAATCAGCCAGGATGGAAGAAAAATCTGACAAACGTTGATAATCTTCATCATCATCTTCTTCTACATAATCCAACATTAAACAAGCACTATTCTTAGATAAATCATTTGTTGTGTAACTTAGTTTATGACCACTATGATTAGCCTCACTAAGCGATCTGTCATCCACATATTCAGATTGGGAAATAGATGCTAAATCTACAGAATTTTGTTTCCAATGTATATAATCCATTCTAACTGTTTTTTGATTCGGACTGCTTGTTGTAGATTTAGTTGATATTTGTCTCTTATCGTCATTCAATTGAGTTAGTAACCAATTAGGGACATTTGATTTCGACTGTGAAAGTTTTGAAACTTGATAACAACCAGGAGTAGAAACATCTTGGGCTGTCGAGTTGTTGGATGAGAAATTTTGACCATCAGAATTCGTTGTATCTAAATGAGAAAGAGTAGCACATAATGGCGGCACTGGTCTGCAAGGGAGATCTGCAACTGAATGAAGAGAACGTTGGGGATGATGACTGAATAAATCAGTATCATTGACGCGATTATTATCACCTACATCCGTTCGTAACGATCGGATATTGTAATTACGTCGTTGTTTGATGATTTCATTCGATGAACTGTCTGCCAATTGAGGGTCAAATTGTGTAAAGACTGGATTTGAAGTATACTGAGGAAGTTTGAGAGGACATGGAAGCATTTCAGGAATGACAGTCAAATGAGTAACAAGAGCTTGCAATGACGGCCATTCCTTGTCCAATCCCTTTTAGATCATGAAAAATCCAAATTTAGGCATTTCAATCAAAATTACAGGAAAAAGTTATGAATAATATATTTCAGGTTGAAATCGATCATAAACACACATCAGTTGGAGGAACATTGGGAACCTGACAGGACTGTACAGTTGTGTACTGACAGAAGTAGAAAAAATGGACCATTTGGTTCCGACCCAGTGGCTCAATGGTAACATGCTGGCCACGGAGCGTGGAGGTCCTGGGCTTGATCCCCGGCGAGGTCATAGGTGCGCACTGCTGACGAGTCCCATACTAGGATGAAACAGTTGTCCAGTGCTCCTAGGTTTCCAATGTTCCTCTAACTGATGTCAGTCCATGGTGAATTCTGGCCTGAAATCAATTAATAGATCTCCACAATTCTCTAGATTGAATCGTATATTTCTAAAATAAAATGTCTGAAAACTAGGTCCCGCAGATAGTGTAGCACATTAGCCTAGACACTGAATTTAAATCAATCAAACCTAGATTGAAATTCCAGTCCACATATTTGGGATTGGACAGTCGAAAATTATTTTAAGTCCTCAAGTCACAGAGTTGCATTTATCAGCCAATCGCCACATCCGAAAGGTTCTCATAAGCTATTTTTGTGAGATGTGGACATTTGCAAACCATGTACATTGAACCGAATGACATTTATCGGCAATCATATATGATGTTTAGCTATTATAACTGCTTGAAATTAATCGACCAGTTTTCCTGTATGATCCACTAGTGTAAATAAACTCAACATGGAAGTTTATTGTACTTAGAGCTCAAGTTTTTTCAGCCTGGACTATGTGATTTAACTACGGAGTTAAAAGTCTGTCAAATGAATAATGAATGCATATGATAAAGTTTCAACTGTAAGGAATTTTTATAGAAACACACTATACTTTGATAAAGGAGAGGCGCAAGTCAATTAATTATGAAGCTGAACTACAGTCTCTATGACTGTCAGAAAAAAGTTTTTAGTTGGTCTTCTAAATTCTGGACAATTACCGGCAGTGCGTCAACTAATTCACCTGGTCTGAACGCTGACCGTGTTTTTTTAACTTTCCATAATCTATATACCGGTGGATAATTAGAGAAGAGAATTTTTCAGTAGTTATGAATACATTAGCACACTAGCGTGTTTGTCTGATGAAAATTTTTTAGTCACAAGTACAATACCACAATAATGTAGGTGTATTGAACTGCAAATAGCCACGTCAAGACGTACACTAAAATATTGCTCACCTTTTATTCATATTTTAGGCAGAAACTCAATGTTATTTCAGTATGTGGATGTATACATACATCAATGCACCACTATGATATTAAATAAAGATACAGTTTCGAAGCAGTTTTCATAATGGATTGACATTAGTTGGAGAACCATTGAAAACCTGAGAGTAATGGACAGCTGTTTGTTCTTAATATGGGACTCCTTACAAGTACGCACTCAAGACACCAACCCGCCAGGGATCGAACTCAGGACCTTCACGCGTTAACCATTCAACCATTAGGTCGAAGTTCAATGATCCACGGTTTCTCACTTCGATTAATCTGCGTTATAGCGCGACTATCCACCAAGGTCTTCATTTGGCATTCACTTCACCTTTAATCTGGGTGATCACGCAGGTCACGACTTCTCATTAGGAGTTCGGGATATCTATTTCGAAGCACGTCACTAATTGGAACTATGCAGAAATTTAGTTTGAGGTGTATGGCGGGGTCGTGAGTACATACTGCTGAGTGGTCCCATAGTACAACGAAGCAACTACCCAGTCCTCCCAGGTTTTCAATGGTCCTAACCGATATAGCTACTACGTTGACGTGGTGATCAGGCTTGTAGTCGCAATGACCCAACGAGCTACATTGGTTGGAACGCTTGTCCCCTCGACGTCCTACCACGCTACAAAGATCTGTTGGATAGTGGTTGTATCGACCAGATATTCATTGCGCCAGGTTCTGGAACACAGGCACACTTACCGACACGAGCTGTATTTTTCGACCCGAAGGCGGCGTTTGACCCCGTCGGCCGAGGTCTTATGGTTTTGTCTCTCACTGGAAGAGGTACTGAATAAGTATATCACTCTGTCAAAGGTTTTTTACCCAAACACCTGTAGAAGCGTTAGAGTCTGTGGTGAGTTGTCTTTCAAGAGTATCCACTTTCTCTATTCCTGTTCACTTTTGTCATAAACGTTCTCATAATTTGAGAATGTTTGGGATGCGATTTTCACCACCCAAATGCAAATTATTGCTCCAGGACTGGTCTTCAGCGGTACCGCGGTTAACGATAGAGAGTGAAGTGGTTGAGTGTGTTGACCACTTCACTTACCTGGGAAGTAGGATCAACTCCGGTGGGTTAGTTGCCGATGAGATTTCTGCACGGATACAAAAGGCTCGATTGGCTTTTGCCAATTTGCGCCACCTATGGCGCCGCCGTGATATTCGTTTGTCTATTAAGGGTCGCGTGTACTGCACAGCAGTCCGCTCTGTTCTACTGTATGGCTGTGAAACATGGCCATTGAAAGTGGAAGACATGAGAAGGTTACAGGTATTTGACCACCGTTGCCTTCGTAGTATAGGACGTATTCCGTGGTGTCACCATGTGAGTAATGCAGAAGTTAGGTGTAGAGTTTTAGGGAGAAGAGGTAAGTCAGTCGACGAGGTTGTGAACCTTCATCGACTGAGATGGTTGGGACACGTACTACGTATGCCTAGTCACCGATTGCCTCGTCACACAATGTTGGCTGAGGTGGGTTCAGGCTGGAAAAAGGCCCGAGGTGGCCAGACTAAAACATGGCACCAATGTATGAAGTCTCTGACTGTTGGTCTAAGCCATGTAGGACGATGCAGACTAGGTGGTTGGGGTCCACGGGACAAGAGGAACCAGTGGTTGGAGACCCTAGGTGATATGGCTCAGAACCGAAGTCAGTGGCGCAGATGTATACACACATTATCCTCATCTTAACAACGCTATACCGAATCTCACTATTTTGTCACTCCTCTTTCCTTTCTTCTCATACTTTATATTTCTTTTGACTGCATTCACTTATCTTCATCCTTCACCTCACTACCTTTTTACTTGATGTGCTGATATGAGGTGTGGCAACTCGGACCGTTACGCAGTAATGCCTGGTCCTATGTTGATAATGATGATGATGATGATAAACGTTCTCAAGGAGGTCTCCTCCTTGTCATCTGACATCACAAAGATTGGTCTAATCACAGGAGAATCTTTGGTAGATTTAGAGTACACAGACGATATGTTCTGCTAAGTGAAGACACTGAGAGGATACAAAGTCTTCTGGACACATCGAGTGGAAATTTGAGATGCGCTTCTCGCCACCCAAATGGAGATTGTTGCTATGGGAGTGGTCCTCAGCGCTACCTAGATAGCACTACAGAGTGGTATTGAGTGTGTTGAACACTTCACTTGCCTGAGAAGTCGAATCAGCCCTGGTGGCTCAATGACCAACGAAATCTCTGTACGGATCCAAAAGGCTCGATTGGTATTCGTCAACTTACGCGATCTGTGGCGCCGCCGCGATATTCGACTCCCGATTAAGAGTAAATAGAGTGTACTGTGCTGCTCTATTCAACTGTATGGCTGTGAAACATGATCACTTAACGTAGAGTACATGAGAAGGCTTCTGGTGTTTGACGAGTGTTGACTTCATAGCACAGGCCGTGTGTCGTGGTGTCATTAATTTAGTAACGTAGAAGTCAGGTGTAGAGTTTTAGGGGGGAAGGGGAAAGTCAGTTGATAAAGTCGTGAACCTTCATCTACTAAGATGGCTAGGATATGTGTTATGCATGCCCACTCACCGTCTACCTCATCTTGCAATGTTGGTTAAAGTATGCTCAGGCTACAAAAAGGCTCAGGATGGCCAGACTAAAACATGGCGTCACTTCAAGAAATCGTTGACTGTTGGTTTGAGTCACGTAGGGAGATGCAGACCAGCCGGTTGGTATCCATGTGACGACGAAAACCAGCGGTCGGAGACTGTAGATGATATGGCTGAGAATCGATGTCAGTGACACAAATGTATCCATCTTCATCTCAACCGCTATACTGAATTAAGCATTTTCTCATTCCTCTGTTTTACTACTTTCTACTGCTTTAGATTGGTTTCTCTTCCTTTCTTCATCTTAATACTTTGTTACTTGTTGTGCTGATATGAGGTGTAGTAACTTGGACGGTTACACAGTAATCTCCGGTCCTATGTTGATATTGATTTTCAATGGTTTGCCAAATGATGTCATTGTGTGATTAACACTACCTTCACATAAATAAGATCACCATATACCTCATCAAAGTAAAAGATACAGCTGTCAATATTAAATAAAAATACATAGATTGTAGACTAGATGAGGATATCTAACCTTTAAGCGAACACCTCGATTTGTTTTCTGTATCAAATAATGTGTTATTCCAATAGGGTTATCTTTATTCGGCACACGAACAGATAAAGCACAACAACCGGGGTGAGTGGCACTATTACGGACTATAAAGCTACCAACCTGAAATGTGAAAATGATATTATGCTAGAAAATAAGAGGCATTGGAAGATAAAATTACAAAAATTGGTATAATCGAAGTGCTAACTGATATATCACATAATAATAACGAGGATACCAAGGGAAATTGAAGTGAATGTTTAGGAAATTTCATTAGTAGTTTGTGTTAAAATGAAAACCAACTACATCGACTTCGATGCTCAGGATCTCAACCCATTGCGTTATATGTCTGTTATAGGCTAAGATTTACTGAGTTACGCTAGATCAATACAACCATTCCAAAAGAAATGAAGAAAGGTTGAGAATTAAGGCATCATAATACTTCAGAAAGTGGATGTATAGCATTTAGTCTATGCTTTGATTGTATTTATTGCAAACTGATGTGTCAGGAAATAGATGACTATACCACAGAACCATATAGTGTCTGAGTTGTTTGTTAACTTTAACTGCAATTAATCAACACATTTCTCATCAAAAATACATTAGTTTTAGAGTGAGATGTCAGATCTCTAGAGTTAAAAAAAACCCATAGGTAGTTCGTCTTCATCTCTTTTGTATCGCTTAACCTATAACCCACACACCCTTACTTTGCATACAAGAGATTTTATCAACCTATTTTCCCACCTTAGCTCTATTCTTCAGTCTTTAAAGATATTATTTCGTGACCTGTTTCTATAAAATATGTTAAGCTATAGATGAAGAGGATCGTCTCCTATCAGAGTTTATCAAGGTTTCACACTCCATTTGTTTTTGAAGCTATTTGGGTACATGTTCTCTCACGCCTAACTGCATGGCTCGACTACTCCTCCCTATGTATATGTGACCACACATACGTAAATTGGTAAACACAATGGGATGTGACGTAATCACTGATGAAGTGTTCAGGTTCGTGGTGAAGCATGTTTTCTTTTTCCACAATGATAAGATTAACTGCGTTATATGTTTTCTTAATGGTTGATGTTAGCATACGTCTCGAAAATATACCACTCAACTTCTCCCTGTATGGTAGAGTGTTATGGACGCTTTTCTTAGGAGCAGCGTATAGAGTTGGCTTCAGCGATACCTGACTTCTACAACGGTAATATAGACTTCAACGGATACCGTTTTTCATAAGTGTTTTGGTCAGTAATTTGATATCTTCATCCACTGTATCTGTGTACGGATACGATAGATCCTATTAAACAGGCATTTTGCTAGACATCGCTTGTAGGGGATCGGACGAAAATTGTGAAAATTTAGGTATTATCCTGTCCATGTAGATAAGATGGATGGAGATATCAAATCACTGACTAAAACACTTATGGAAAACGGATATCCGTTGAAGCTTATGTACGGTTGTAGAAGTCAACTCTATACACGGTTCCTTAGAAAAGTCCTCATGTCACTCTACCATACAGAGAGGAATTGAATTGTATAACTTTGAGATGTAGGCTGACATCAGCTATCAGGAAAACATATTAAGGAGGTAGGCTTATTATTATGGAAAGAACAAAATCTGTCACATCTCATTACGTTTACCAGTTTGCATGTGTGTGGTCACACATACATAGGGAGAAGCAATCGAGTCATGCAGTTGAGAGTGGCAGAACATGTACTTAAATAGCTTCAAAAACAAATGGAGTGTGAAACCTTGATAAACGCTGTTGGGAGACAACTCTCTTCATCCATAGCTAAACATATTATAAAAACAGGTCACAAAAGCAGTGCTCAAACATTCTCCTACTTTCAACTCCTACACGCTAATGATTCTCCTGTTTCCATGCTAGTTCAAATAAGATTTTGTTCTTCAATTTTTGTCATACCATGCAAAATGTTATCGTAACTTTATCGTTTCTAGCCTCGTTCTATTTGTCTTCATTTTTATTTTTAGCGAAATTAATGCTCTTTAACGATGAGGCCTTGTTTCGTGTAATCACATATACCATAAACTAGTATAACAATAAAATTCACGATACGTGCTCATAAAAAGGTATACATTTTCACTGTACAACTTCAAGAATGAAACTATCATTATAACTTGATATAAATTAAAATGTACATAGATTAAACTAACATATGGAACTAATCAACGATATTATTGGGGAGAAAATCAGTCAGAGACGTCAGGAATTCGAATGCATATTTCGGTACAAGACACTCTTACAATATCATCAATACAACCACGATTAAACTGAATACTTATGTGTATGTAATCTCAATATGGAAGTGCAAAAACCGCATAATTAACAACTTGAGATAAAACCTAATTCAGAAGCTAAAGTATGTAATTCGCTTTACACTGCAAAAAGATTAAAAAAAACACAATCAATACCTCTTCTTTGGCAAGTAGTTCAAATGCTATTTCTCTCGGTAACAATGCCTGATACCACGGTGCTTGATTTAATGAACTGTCATCATTATTATAACATCCAAGAGATTGTGAGCTTTGTTCAGGAGTTGGTGTAGGTGTAGCAGTTGGAGTGGGAGTTTCTGTTGATACTGATGATGTGGACATTATGGAGCTTGGTGTTGGCGTAGTATGAATGTTATCACATCCACTAGAAGGAAAAATTGATTTTTGATGTTTTTCTTGAACTGACTGAACTGTATTATCTGCTGTCACACGTAGTGGATCACTGAAAAGTGAATTGTCAAAATTCTCATTAGGTGGATATAAACGAGAATTGGAATGCTGGAAACCACTTTGGCTATGTCTAGGTAGATTTTCAGTAGGATACTGAGCCTGAGATTGTGAAACTATATCGCCGTGAAGACACGACTTTTCAGAAGTTTTTTGAGCTGGTTTGTAAGCATTGGATTGAGAAATCCTAGTGAACGGATACAAAAAGGTATCCTTATAAGTGAATAACAAAAACGAAACTATCCAGAACCATTATCAATGAAAGACCTACTGGAAGAAAAATCTCTGATACCAAAATTGAAACTAAGTTCCAACAAGCAGGTATCAGAAATAAAGTACAAATATTTTGCAAGGAATTAAAGGTGTTTATTCTGCAGTGTACTGAACTCTACATTTATCACTTTTGTTGAATCGACTACTGTGTTTTATGAGACTTTGAAGGCCACCCTGGCAAATGATGAAATAGCCAGTCAGATTTCAGTATTCCTGCTGGAAAGGTGAATTTTGATAAAATAGAGAAGTCTTATGGGTTATTTCAGTTGTTGTTAAGGTGACCTTTAAAGTCGCTCTGTGTTTTAGTTGAAAAAACTAACCTTATTCTTGTGAAAAATGTAAGCTTAGTACAAACAGAAAACAACGTCGAGAACCAAGACAATTTAATAATCATGAAAACGCAAATCAGTTTCTTAGGAAGATGAAATTGTGATCACGGACACAACACACTACTCGAAAGTAGCATAAGAAACGTTACTAAATTATTTATTTTCTAGAAATGGTAAAAGAATGACTTAGAAGTGGCAAGTGGTCCCTGGATTAGGAATATCAATAAATTATCTATCCATGAAGAATCCAGTCACATATATTAAGATATCACGTGTACTTATAAAATCAATTTGAATTCCATATACATTACATGGGAATAGAATGCTATTTGAGACAGAAAAACAAAATATGATGTGATATAAAACAAGTTCCCGTATCTCGTGCCAGTAAATCGAAGTAGGTGTCAACATCAGGAAATATAATGCAACGAAAATGGTGATAATAATAAGAAATGAACTCATCTGGATGTCTGAAGATTTTAAGTTGTATTACCTATTCCAGTTAGCCAGAAGACCTCAATCGGGAAGCCTATGTTTCCTCGCCTACAACTTAAGCCATCGATATCTTAGTTCATAGCACATTCCAAAAGCAACACTTAGGTTAAGGCGTCGGCTCAGCACGCGTAACACATATTCTGGTCACCTTGTCACGGGAATCGCCTACCTTTCTTAATACGACCATTAAATACGTTAACACTGAATCGTTTATGACGATAGTTTTATTGATTATGAACAGATGAAACAATATTTGTAGACTGAAAACGATTTGAATCCAAATAAATACTATTAAAAGACCAAGAGTCTTGTAGACTTTAGGTCTTTGATCGCTGTGACCGACTGGAATCAAGTATTGCATGGCATGGGGAGAACACCGTGCGGTAACTCGATAATGGTTAGGGTGAGAATGCGTACAGGTTAAAACAGATTGTGATCCGTACACTATTGTAACAGACAGTTAGGGTTTTCGATGGGTGGCCAACAAGACGACATCATTCAAACAATTATTCCATCAAACCAAACACTTAGAATAAGCAGTCCGTACCCTAAGATCTGTAGAACATGTTTTGTTGGTGTCATTTACCAGATGATAACTTATTTCCGCTGGAATAACTTAAAGCAGTTATATAGTAACTTACGGTTACTTAAGTTAAAAATCCAAGCAATAGCGACTTGCTGAACAAAGTGAAAAGTTTAGAAACTATAACATAGAGATAAAAGTTGATATATCTGTATGGTGGCGAAAGTCAACTGAGCATTTGTAGCCGTGTCGAGATTTTGTCAGTCACCAAGTTGATACAGCTTTCAGGGTAAGTGAGGTGGTTAGCCCAACCATTGTTACACTCCCTACTCAAAGAAAAGACTTTGATACGAAACAATCGTGAAACAACAATTTGCACCTATGAAGAGAACACATTCAAAAGATTCTCAAACAGCTGCCGAAGTTGTTTAGGACTATGTCATCTAAGCACCTTAAGTCGACTAAAGGAGTTTGCTGGAAAGAAACACAATCTTTGCCAACTCATACGAAACCTAATGACCACTTTTATGACAAAATGAAGCAAAATGGTGACAGTGGATGCTACTCAATGTGAAAATCTCACTGGAAAGGTAATAGGAAGCGCTAACACAACTATAGATGTCAAAGTGTACACCCTTTAGTAGGGTGACGTACTCACCAGATACCCTTTATATTTGCAGACGCTGTCGCATAGCCTAGCAGCCGACAGGGTAGAATACTGCGCTTAGGTAAGAAAATACATCTAGTGACAGTTGCCGGTAAGTATGCTGTTATTCAAAAATCTTGTCGACACACTAACAACCGGGTCTGGATTTCTTGGACTCACTGTTCCAGAGCTGTTGTTAAGCCGTGGTTCGTTGAAAAACATAGCATCTTATATAATATTTTGATCAGGCTGATTTCTGCAGTGGCCATCAAAAGACGTTCATGAAGTGTGGTGAACAACCGACTGAGATCACTCACATGAGATAATTTTTAAAAACTGTAGCTGTTTGTTATTGCTTAAGTCTTCGCTTCCTATTACTGCTCCCGGCTATTACGTACGCTTTATCAGTTTGCATTTAGCCTTTTATTTCAAAGCCCCTTAAGCTGTTCATTATACTTCGAACTTATGAAAATGTGTTCCCACGTATTTATTAATATGGATAAGATGTAAAGAAATGCTGATCTCTGCTCAAAGGAAAGTTAAGGTATTTATTGCTATTTTTAACGCAGACAAAAACCGAATCAGGCTTCTAAATAGTTTCATTCGCTCGTTCATTATTCCCTGATGATGATTACATCATATGTACATCACAGACAAAAATCAAAGTAGAATCTGAAAGAGAAGTGTATACATTCAGGCTGCCACATTTCAAAGCAGCATACGAAGAACAAGAGGGTAGAAAAAGTGATATTAAGCTAGTCGAGGGTGTATGAGGGGTGGGGAGGAGAAAAGATAGGTATAGGCTGATAAAAACATATGCAAGAGTTCGATGTGACAAAGAGGTTATGCATCTCAACCATTGTGACCAACTATCAACTGTCATCAAAAGTTCCCAACTATTGATTTCAAGCAGACATTCTACATTCTCCTACACAGATAATACGAGCAGTCAAAGGAGTGGATTGGCATGCGCGACGCAGGTATAAGCCACTTCATTTAGTGAAGGTTCACAACATGATTAACTAACTCGCCTTCCTTGCCTTATACCCCATACCTAATTTTGCCATTGGTGGCTCACGGGGCGACTCCAGTACACGAGCAATCTTGCGAAGACACACGTGGTTACTTCATATTCTCTACTTTGGAGGCCATTTCTCATTGCTGTACAACAGGACATAGCAGAATGCAGTATACTCGTCCTTGAATAAGCCGTTGCATTTCTCGCCTTCTCCAGTTACGATGTATGTTGGCAAATACGAAATAGACCTTATGTGTCGATACCCAGATTTCTTAATCTATCCACCCATTTAGGATACTGCAATTGCACTAGTAAGTGAAGTGGTCAACGCATTCTACTATTTCATGCTATATCCTTGAAATAATTGGTTCAGACCAGTACACAAGTGCATCGATCCAACTTGCCACACTTCACGTAAGTATTCAAAGAGCAGGTGGATAGAAAAGGAGTGATATTAAAGCAGATAAAGTTGTGTGAGAGAATTAACGATCTGAAGATAAAGGTTAGCATGAATATTCCAGCTTTAAATGTCGAGGAGCAAATACATTTGTGCAACTGTATCCAATTTTCAGCCATGTCATCAAGTGTCCTCTTAAACACTGATCCATTTCGTCTCCATGACCCCAAAGAGGCAATCTACATCTTCACACATGGCTCAAACCAACAGTCAGGGACTTCATCGACTGGCGTTAGATCTTGGTCTGGCCACCCTGAAACCTCTTTCAACCTAATCCCAATTCCCCTAGCATGGCACGTAGAGGTAGGTGGTGGATCGGCACGGGCAGTACATTTCAAAACCATCTCAGTCGACTAAGGTTCACAACCAAATCAATCGACTTGCCTGTTTTGCCTATCACCCTTTGACTGACCTCAACGTTGCTCACACGATGATTCCGCCACACGCGAGAAGTGTTACGAAGGCATCTATGATGAAAACCCCGCAACCGCTTCATGTCGTCTGCTTTTAACAGCCATGTCACAGTCGTACAACAGGACAGAACGGACTGCAGGGCAGTATACTTGCACTTTGTATTCGAGCCTTTTGTATTCGAGCCGAGACTTCGTCAGCAACTAGCCCGTTCCAGCTGATGCAACTCCTCGAGTAAGTGAAGTGGTCGACACATTTCACCACTGTACTCTCAGTCATTAAATTGTGAGTACTTGCAGCATACCAGTCCTGTAGGATCATCTCACGTTTGATACGTGAGAAACCCATGCCATACATACACAGATTTCTGTTCAACGTGTTCAGAAGACCGTACATTTTGTCAGCGTCTTCACCCAGCATGACAATATTATCAAGTAAATAACCTTCAGGGAATGGGTCAATTCCTGTAAAGTCAGACGTAAACATTATGTCCATTACCACGTCTGTGACGAAGTTAAATAAGAATGGTGACAGTAGACATTCCTGCCGGACACCGCTAGTTGTCGTCAACTCCAATAATAACTCTCCATAAGCCCCTGACATGGCTGCATGAGTTCGAGTGAGGAGCTTTGATAAGCGTTATATACATGCTCGGTACTTCCTACACAGTTAGACATTGCCACAACACCTCACGGTCGACAGTGAAATGCAGCTTTCAGGTTAGGAAATATGACAAGTGTGTCCCGCCGGTAGGGTGAAAATATGATCGATGCACCCTCGATCAGGCCTGAAACCTGCCTGGTTCTCTCTCTCTCTCTCTCTTTCACACACACACATACATATTTATCCCCAGAAGTCAGAAGTTTTTATTTATAAGAAAAAGGAAAACATAGGTAAACTGAACTTATCCATTAGCAGACTCATAGGTAGGAGTTTTAAAAATTAGAAAATAAATATGTTAATCGTTACCTTGAGTTGTCTATTTGTTGGCGTTTGACACGATTTGAATGACAAGAAGTGGAATCTGCATCTTGATGCATAGTTGATCTAGTTTCTTTTGGACTATTTGAGTCATATGATGCTGCTTTCATAACAGCTTCAATTGATTCTACAATTTCACGATCTTCATCCTTATCTAATTCATTATACATACCATCTGGTATAGGATTGGGAGTTGACAAATTGGATGTAAAGTTCTTTGAATTGTACTGTTCATGACTTCTTCTAAGTGAATGCATTCTATGGACAAGGCGAAAAGAAACAGAGTTTAAAGTTAAGAAATCATAGAAAATTGTGTAGTTATATAGAAATAATACGTTAACTATCATATAAATTTAAAACGATATTTTATACGGGATAAAAATAAAAAATCATCATCAACTATACCAATGATGAAATATTGGTTAGCACTAGAATCTACGAAATGCGTTTAGTTCTTTCCGTGATTCGTCAGCTGGATGTACTTCATGCCCAATGAGTGACGCGAAAATCTTATCAACATGATATTTTTCGATGCATAATAAGTTAGCTGCACAGCGTAGATATAAGTATAAAGTAATTTACTTGGATGTGGCAGTATCACACAGTATAATGTGACCTTAACAAAATATTTAATATAAATAATAGATTTCTTTGTTGTTTGCGTGTGTTGTGACATTTGGAGTAGAGAAATATAAAGGATCATATGTATTTTTCAAAATAGGCGGTTATCTACTTTAGAATCTGAGGTAACCTTGTTATATATATATATATATATATATATATATATATATATATATATATATGAGTGGAATCTCGCCCGGTCCCTCGAAAACAGAAAGAAGCGGCAAAACGACAAAAGGTCTGTTGTCGAGTAGAATATGTACGTAGCGTAATTGTTTATAGATGCTTTCAGTGGCCTTGACATGTTTTACACCCTTCTAGAAAATCTCTTAGCCAATCTGAAACATGTACATGATCAGGCAGTTTTTCGCAAATGTCCGGCATGCGGGAAAGCTTTTCAGGAATTTCAACACTTCTTTGAGGAATCTAGGCGATACTATCTCACTCCATAAAAGACACAAATTACTTACGTACAAAAAATCTGTTGTAAATATATGGCTCACATGGTTACAAAGTCAGGTTTCAGGTAGGAACCCAACCCTCACCTACATATCAACCTGAGCAGTATTATGATCCTTCACACAATAAATGTAGCTCATAGCCTAGTATATAAACATTTACCAGGTTTAACTAATTTTTCTAATTAAAACAGTTTATGCATCTTTCTAAAATCATTACTGCACTATGTTTTTATGTATTAGGGTACTTTCAAGTGTTGAAACGATGTGGTTAACAAATCAAGGATAGGAAATGGCGGTTTGAAGAGAGTTCAGTTACCTTTTTCGGCAATATTAGTTCAGTGTTATTTTCACACTACTTGCAAGTAACTTGCGACTGAAGTAGAAATTAAAAGTCAACGGAAGAAATGCAGTCGCAAAAACTACACTAATCACGATTTCTTTTAGTTAAGTTATAATAAACACTGTTTTAAATAGTGCTTAACTGGTGCGATTGTGTGCGCGTGTATACGGGAGAAAGAACGGCAAACAGATAGAAATAGACAGTGTAATGCAATAAACAATCATATTTTGAGAAAGTGGTGCTTTTAAAAAGACTAGGAATTTGATTTTAGCGAAATGAAATTACCTCTTCTGAAGTGTTCACAGGAATACACATATATTCAAACGTTTAGGCAGGTTATTATTTTCTTTACGGGACAAGCTCCGTATAGCAACTTTACGAATCAATGACTACTACTGAACAAATTGAGTAGTTAGAAAGCACTCAGGCTCATCTGTAGATTTCACCAGTCAGATAAGAGTGATTTAAGCCCCGAACGGCCGTTTTGCTCATTTGGGACCGATCTCATCAGGAGTTAACCCAGACAGATTCGTCTCATACCCCGGAATTAGTTCAGATCACATGAATCTGGTTAGCTGACTTGTATAGACCAGTCTACCTAAAATAGGATGATCAATTTACAAATGAATTACGATTTGTACGGTTCACGTTGACAATTCTGACACATGAATTGTTTAGTAGAAGTATCTTTCACTGGTTTATGACACTTTTGTGTCAGAGATCACACCATATGATCGCGGTTGAGTGGTTTCCAACGGAAACTCTGTTGACACCACAGCTGGGCAGCTGAAAAACTACTGAGCTATGAGGGACGTCAACGCGGACTGAATAATTTGTAAATCATTTGCAAATTGATTGTCCTAATCAATAAATATCCCGGTGCTCACCGTCATGATGTTATTGGAAGTAAACGGCAAATGATTTTCAGAGGGAAGAACAAAAACCCGACCGATGATTATCAAAGGGCATACATAGAACTATCTAATAACAAACAGTTCACTCCATTGGTATACTATTTAGCCATGTGATAAAATTGCAAACCTAACTGATAGAATTTGATCAACAGTGATGATTCGAAAAAATAACGCTGATCACCAAGCAACTGATCACACTGTTTAGTGTAATACTCTACTGCAAGTCTATCACAGTTAAAATAATTGAACGGCAGCACCTCTGACTGTAGTACTAGATGAAAATGTTCAAATGTCATAGAGAACACTAGTTCACTTACGAATGCAAGTATGCTTTATTACTAAATGTCAAAAACCAGGAAACCCAGATTCAGAACCTGATGTCGATTGTATCTTGTTTATATTTCTCTAATTTCCTACTTGTTTAATTGTGTTGACTGAAAAAAGAGGCAACATTCGATGCACTAGGGGATAAATATATTCACACGTTGTATTTCGAACATGGCTATTAACATAATTCTTTTTAAAGATTAATTCGTAACCCTTTACAAGTTACGCCGTGACCAAGTAACTGTAAAGGTCACCCTAGCAACTGCAGAAATGACCAATTAGTTTTCAGTATTTCGCCAGGTAAAAGTACTTTTTCATAAAATATAGGAATATAATTGAGTCGCATCAGTTGCTAGAGTGGCCTTTACAGTCATTTTCGTAACCATGACTGACTTTCGTTACTATCGTTGTGTAGGTGAATGGTAATTAATTAAACCATAGTCGGATTTTAGTCTGAGACAAAATAATTTTGGTTCATTCATCTACAAATATTCACACATGATTAATACATAAAGGGCTAAAGGAGATCGAAATACCAACGCATTGTTTATGTGGATAATCGCATACCTTTTCCACACTTAGTCGGAATGAGTGTTAGTCAGAGAATATATACACTAAATATAATACATCAATATTATAACTTTATACTGCCCCAAAAGGGTGTTTTCTGTCTAAATGTAACACAGAAATAGTACGGAGTTAAATTATTGCTTACATACATAGAACCAATTAAATAACTTTTTTTAATAGTACAAATTCTTGGCTTGATGAACAGCATTAATGTCTGTGTTGTGTCTAATGTACAGTTGTTTCTTTTCTAACCATTGACATTCTGTTCGATAAAAGTTACCACCCTTACCTGACTCGTTGAAAGTTACAACAATAATGTTAGAGTCAATCAAGTATGTTATGAATTAACAGCTCTTCATGTTCATGCTATAAGTTTACAGATGTTCTTCTTATGCTGGCAGATGCCCCACAGACTACTACAATTGGCGATTCACAAAAAAATCTGAAGTTTAATGCATAATACATATTTCAAACTAATCAATATGAGAAAGGCGTATTATCAACAAGATCAGGTTTATTCCTTTTCAGAGAAGAACACATTTAGGGCAAGAAGATAAGAAGATAAGTTACACTAACCACGTGAAGACTCGGAACCACACCTATTTATTAATTTTTTTGCCATTTTTTCATCATGACTACTTCTATAATTCTGATACCGATCCGGTTGACACACTAAGACTGGTAGTTGTCTCCAAAAGCAATCATTTCCTACTAAATCTTTTAAATCGAATTCTGAGTCACGGTACATTAGATCAGCGAGAGGAATTACATTTTAACAAAAGACATTTAAGCGTATTCTATTCAAACACTACCATGCAAGGTTGTCTAAGGGGTAGTGTAAAGCCATGAACAGCTCGATTCTTGAGTACCTGCTTAACCCTGGTCACTGTGCTCCATAAGAGTTTTCCTTATAAGTCATTTATAAAGTGAAGTCAAACATTTTCAAGGAGGTGCATATTTGCTACCTCAACATAGCAGAGGCTTTCGCAATCCAGTGGTACAAGCCTGATCTTTGCGTTCAAATGAAATACATTCTACCCCTAAATTTGCCTTGGTTGTAATCTCCTTAAGACAGTCTATTCACTTCTCTGTTTATTGTTTTTCATTTATTGTAATTTGGTAAGCAGTTCTCGATGACCTTGAGCAGACCTTCTAGTCGTTATCACCTTCTGACTTCATTGATTTAGTGAATACAGTCAGCTGCTTGAGCTACATTAAGCGTGGTTATTGTTAATTTGGTACTTCTAGATGGAAACTTGAATGCTCAGGTGATCAGATTACCGGAATCCGCCGGATGAGGTTACAAAATCTTAATTTCGAACCTGTAATCTAAAATAAACGAATGGTGTTTGAGTCAATCCTGACAACTGGAAACCTTTGGTACACAAACGTGGTTCATTGGTTTAAGGGGTCGATTCTCAACCAATGGGTCATGGGTTCGAACTACGCTCACTTACCGAGGTTTGGGCAGCTAGGTGATAACATTAGACCCTACACGACTAGTGTGGCTCAATGTTTACTGTACGGTAATCTTATCACCTGGGCATTCAAGTTTCCATCTAGAAGTACCAAATTAACAATAACCACGCTTAATGTAGCTCAAGCAGCTGACTGTATTCACTAAATCAATGAAGTCAGAAGGTGATAACGACTAGAAGGTCTGCTCAAGGTCATCGAGAACTGCTTACCAAATTACAATAAATGAAAAACAATAAACAGAGAAGTGAATAGACTGTCTTAAGGAGATTACAACCAAGGCAAATTTAGGGGTAGAATGTATTTCATTTGAACGCAAAGATCAGGCTTGTACCACTGGATTGCGAAAGCCTCTGCTATGTTGAGGTAGCAAATATGCACCTCCTTGAAAATGTTTGACTTCACTTTATAAATGACTTATAAGGAAAACTCTTATGGAGCACAGTGACCAGGGTTAAGCAGGTACTCAAGAATCGAGCTGTTCATGGCTTTACACTACCCCTTAGACAACCTTGCATGGTAGTGTTTGAATAGAATACGCTTAAATGT